CTAGTTTAGCAGTTTTGCGGCTTTACTGCTTACTAACTTTTACCACTGCTAACTATTACTATAATTGCTTTACATTTACTTCTATTGTTGTTTATCTTTATTGTTTCTATATTATTCAACAGTATTTACATTTCTACAGTTAGATATAACTTTGAGATTCTAACTGCGGCTAACAATTGCTTGAATCTCAAGTTGATTATACTTGGATAGCTGGTTCTTATCTCAACTCACATATTGTAGCAGGTCCATCTCTTTGTTACTATTAGTGGTTGATCATCTCTCTCCAATTTTTCAGGTTCACACCACCAAGTGTAACTACCATTTAAATTTATTGTTGATTTACTTTTAGTTTCTCTTTTACATTTCTGTAGTTATTTACTTTCATTTTTTATATCCATTAGTTTAATTGTAGAATCACTAACCAGATAGCAAGCTACAGATTTATCTATTCAATTTATGTATCAGTTGCTATCATCCTGTTAGCAGTCATTGTTATTATTTATTGACTACTAACCCCTGCAACTCCTACTATTATATTGTCTGTTTGTTTTTGCATTATTGCTATAATGTTGTTAGCAGTCATTGTTATATCCGCTACATCTTAATCTTCACTATCAAAAAGGCTTAACTTCAGGGAAGGGTTTTGAGCTTAGCTTGTTAAGAGTCAAAGAACTCAATTTTGAATTCAAAGATAATTAATTTTTATGCTCTACCCAATTCACCCCCCCCCCCCCACCTTGTGTAAAGTTACCAGTCCCAACAATCCTAAAGGTTTAGGTTAACTGAGATTAGTCAAGTTCAAACCCATTAAGTGCATCTTATGCATATAATTTACATCAATGTAGACTAAGTAGACTTGGATGCTTCTCCTTTCTTTTCAGCTCTTGGAACTTTGTTAAAACACTTTTATCTCAACAGATACAACTACACACTTAGCACCATTTATTATTACTCTCAATGTGTACATCTGGCCCTCTCCTGCCCCCGCATTGGCAAGAACCTCATGCACTAGACTGCCCTAATAAAAATTTGCTTCAAATTTAGCTGTCTTATTTGTTTGTGAGAAGTAGAATGATTATGTCCACCTTATATGCAACAGAATGGGGTAGGGAAGGATTACTAAGGAGTGAGGTAGGAAACTAAATGGTACAGTCCCTACTTTTACATAAGAGAGAACTAAGGTGGTGCATAGTGGTGCAAATTTTGCTTCAGTTTTTGTGATACAAAATTTGCACTGCCAATGAAACAAAAAGTACAATTTTGTATCAAATAAGAGTGTAAATAATAAATAACTTACAAGTTAATATGTGAAAAATTGAACCCGGTGTACATTTTGTTTATGGTTCATATTTGCATTGCAAACAAATAGGAACTTAGAATTTGGGAAGGTGTTACAATCAAAACTGCCTACACACAGTTTGAATCTCCATGATAAAGGTCATGAGCCATAACATTACAAGAGAAAGAAACCGATCCTTACCAGGAAGCCGGTTCCTGACCCGAAAATGTCTATATGCATGAAGTTAATATCATCAAAATAGGATGATGTTAATACCATGTGCAAAAGAGCCTGGATCAAAGCAATATTCCTTAGATCATAGCATCCGGCCATTCATTACTTTCTAGAGGTGCAACTAGAGCAGGCCGAACACGAGCCTGAACTGAGTTAGTTCACAATTTTACATAGGTTAGGCTTGGACTTTCGGTCCTCAAGTTAGATTTGGATCAAAAATTTTCAAGCTGGACTCCAACCTTGCCCTTAGGTAGTTCAAACCTGGACTGAGTCCTAGTTGACTATAAACATTACATATATGCATGCACTAACACATATTTGCTTGAGTATATACATATATGCATACTTTTTTCAGTAAATTATACATATATATGCATCCATATACACATGCAATTATATCAAATATTAATTTGGGCTGATTGACCAACCCAAGCCCAACCTGCTGAATTCATCAAATTTTAGTGTAGGGTAGGTCCGAGTTCGACATATTTGGCTTGACCTTGGGCTCAGTCTAAGGCCTTAGGCCCAATTTTTAAGGTTTAGCCTCGGTAAACCTAACTCAGCCCACTCGACCTTCACCTCGATTTTCATTAGGAATGGTAACAGGCAGGGCGGGTCGGGCTTTCCACCCCCCCCCCCTCCCCTGCGACCTCGAGCTCAAGTACCCTGCTCCAAACCTTGGCGGGGCTAGTCCCCATGGGGAATGGGGATCCTTGAATTTGCCCCACCCCGCCTGGATCACTCTTAAACATTTATTTTTTTTAAACATACCTAGACCTATTTTTTATTATATAATATAAATATTATACCATCCCACCCTATTAGAGTTTTGGGTTTCCTCGAACCCTTACTGGTGGTCAAAAAAATCCTCCCTAGACGGGCAGGGTGGGGAGGCTCAAACTGCCATCTCTAAGTTTTGTGAGCCTTACAAGTAAAAACTGTGTACAACTGCACATTAAAATTTTCTTCCATACATGTATGTTAAATCAGCCATACATTATAAGGTGCTAACTTGCTGGTTGGTAAGGTCTCCTGTTGATCATAGCAGAGACTTGGAATCGAATTATGCTTACACGGGGGAGGGGGGTATGGATTGGGGAATGGACCCCCGTTGTATAGTGCCCTTTAGAAGATATAAAAAAAAATCAACCATACATTAGAAATATCTTTCATACATATATCATGTATGCTAAATTTATGAAGAAAAATTCTCAATGGCTGGATTGCCCTAGCCTATATTTAGTTTGAAGGAAAAAATAAGGAAAGGAAAAAAAAGGAAAAGAAGAAAAAACATGTACAAATCTTGTATAAGTTTCTCTGTGTTTTTCTTTCTTTCCCTACCTTTTCCTTCAAACCAAACACAGCCCTAATATGTGCAGTGTTTTTATTTGCATGGAATCCGTGCATGACAGCGGGAGTAAGAGCCTAGAATCTTGTGATGAAAAGTGGCAGCAGAGCAGACACGATGGAATCAAGAACCCTCATTTCCTGCTCTCACAAATCACAGTTGACACTTGGCCTCCCCCACGCTCCATAATCCATTCCCGTGCCGTGACTCTGCATGAATCAGATAGTGTCAAACTCATCATTGGGCGTTAGCCCATCACTCATTTGGAATCTTCTTTTTTTGAGAAATTTGTGAATGCTTTGAAGTTTGAATCTCATTTTCTAAATGGATTAAGTTGAATTTCTGATTCTGAATTCTGATCACCAGAATTCAGTGCCCAACAAAGCAAGGCACTCTAGCTTGCTATGACCGGTCCTAAAGCTTGTTACGTGTGAAGCCTTTATTCTTTATACATTAAAAGCTCCAGTGGGAGGTAGAGATCTCACGAGACACACCGAGGCTTTTGCTTTTCCTTTCTCTTCTGATATCTTTGCTTTTTATTATGCTTTCGGAGATTTAAGAGTTCTTTATTAGTTACTTGTCGAGGTTAGGAATAACCACATTGATATATATTATTTGGTTGATGAAGAGACAAAATAAAAACAAAATAGCTAAATTATAGCCTACCACCCTGTATTTTGATGCTTTCATTTGTGATGAAGACTTAGATAGATTTCTTACTCACTATTTACTACTGTGCCCTTTTCTAATTGTATTACAGCCGCATATCTTACGATACAAGATGGCGATGTGTGATTATAATTTAAAGTGGGTAGAGTATGGATAGAGAGTAGTGGGCAGAAAATTCAGTTTGGATGAAAACCCATTTGAACTTTCTGTTCTGTCATTAGCATTCGTGAGTTAAATTTAGAAAAGACTCTTATAAAAATAAAAGTGTTATATGTGTGTTTAAACATTTCTAAAACCCTAAATTGTCCTTATGAGACCATTTTGTAGGAAACTTGATAAAATATAATGAAAAAAACTGAAATAAAAGTAATAAATTTCAGAAAATACAATAAAAGTGAAGAAAATACAACAAAATACCAAAAAAAAACCAGAAAGTTTAATAAAAGAAAGAAAAAATATCAAAATACATAAAATAATGAAATTTTCCAAAAAAGAAATACAGAAAATTGAAAACAAACAAAAAAAATGCTCCTAAAGGGTCTGTAATTTTATTTTTACACTCTATCCCATTATCAATGAGTAGGGATGCAAACAGATCAGATCAGATTCGAATCAGGGTATATTCGAATATGATCCAACATTGTTCATGTCAGATTCGACCCGATCTGATAGGACTTGATTTGAATTCAAATCCTAACGGTAAATCGGATCTTCGGATCTGATCCGATCCGACTTGTTTTCTTTAAAAATTAATAAATTATTAAAAGAAAATTTAAATATACTAATTTAAATAAAGTAAAAACTTAAAATAAAAAATATTATATACATATTTTTATAAAATTAAATAATATAACAAATTTATAAATAAATAGATATATATATATATATATATATATTATTTATATTTATATTTATAAACATATAATATATATCAGATCGCATCTTTTCAGATCTGATATAAAGATCCGAACAGGGGTGGTTCTAATTCGACCAAATAGGACCGGATCGGATTCATTTGCACTCCTACTAACAGGGGGCTTAGAATCTGAAAGTTCAGGGCTGGTGTTTGTCACAAAATGATAGTTCGGGGGATTTAAGTGTCATCACTCCCAAATTACATGATGGTAGTCTGTTATTATTTACCCACCCAGATGAATTTCATGGTCTTCTTTAATCTTTATTAGTCTCTAGTCCGGGTCCTGCCGCCTCATTTCTATCATCTTTTTCTTGCTCTGAGCCCCTGCAATGGTGGGCCAATCTTACAGGTGGTCTTGTGAGATTTGTGAATTAATTCTGGGGTTGTTTAAAAGAAAACTCATCACCTCACAGACAACCAGAGCTTTCCGGAAAGATAATCAATCCTTGGTTTAAAAAAAGTAGTTCCTTTCTTGCTTGCTTTGAAATTTGAATCAACTTTAGTTTTCTTCACAGCCACAAGTCTCGTGCATTCTCCGGTTCCTCTCTCTCTTTCTCTGTCTCTGTCTCTAACTGGCCATTTATCAATCACTAAAGCTCTTATTTTCCATGCTTTCAGGGCTTGCCCCAGAATTTAATCTTTTGTCTCAGAAAATTGAGATTTGTCTGTTCTGATTAATTAGCTCTCAAGCAATAATCTTGATTTATTCTCGGCCAGAAAAAAGAAATCAGAGAGACCCATTGACCCATCTCACCCTGAATCGAGCTGCCTTGTAGTATTAAAGCTCATCCATCTTTAGTTCTTAATTTACTTTCAATCTATCTACTCCCTGCAACATGGAACCCACCAACCCTTCCATGAATTCCGGCGACGCACGCATCGACGTCGAGTTTCCAAGTCGACATGTATCATTTTCCGACCAACCCAACAAACCAGATACGGCGCCGGCCACTGTTCCATTGCTCCCACAGCCGGCCTATGCCCGATCAAAATCATCTATCTACGATGAGTTACGGAATTTTCGAATAAGCCTCAAGTGGTGTGCTCTCGATCACTCTTCATGCACCGGCAAGTTTGTCTCCTACCTTGCTTTCGTTCTGCTCACTGTCATAATCCCCATTGCCAGCTCTCTATCCGTGCGCTTACCGCCCACTGCATCCGCCGACGACCCAATTTCCTTCAACAAGCTGGTGCAATTCCCGGAGTCCGGCCACGCTGCCATTGCCTTCTTCACACTATCCGGCTTCTTCCGGCGATATGGTCTCCGGCAACTCCTGTTTCTTGACGCGATGCAGGATGATTCTCCATTTGTCCGACGTGGGTATGCACGGGAGCTGGACAAGGCCTTCCGGCACCTGGCCTTCATCCTCTTGCCTTCGTTCTTCGTCGAGTTCTTCCACAAGATAATATTCTTCTCGACGGTGACCGTGTCAATCCCATACATCAGCGCTTCAGTCCCTTCAAATTCGATCATGTTCATCGCAGTTTTGGCCTCGTGGGTGTACCGGACGGGCGTGTTCTTGCTGGTCTGCGTGTTGTTCCGACTGACCTGCGAGCTTCAGATACTTAGATTTGAAGGGTTTCACAAGCTGCTGGAGGGGTGTGGGTCAGAGTCAGACTCCTGTGTCATATTCCGGGAACACATGAGGATCAGAAAACAGTTATCAGTAACCAGCCACAGGTACCGTTCCTTCATCATCGGCTGTCTGGTAACAATCACGGTTAGTCAATTGGGAGCTCTGATGCTGGCGTTGGCTTCAAAATCTGAGAAGAGTTTCTTCAATTCAGGTGATGTTGTGGTAAGGACACAAGAACAATTTCTAAGTATCAATTTCATTCTAGAGTTAAGAGTAATTGAACCGACCAAACCGATTATGTCAATTTTGATTAACATTTGGGTCTGGAGTCGGGACCGGTTTTTTCTGTTCCGATGGATTAAAACCCTAATAGATTATATAACTAATGATATATAATAGTGTATTTTGATTTCCTTGTAATTTTTGTTATATTTCATTTTATGTTTAAAACAATAAATTTCATATAATTTTGGGTATAAATATAATTTTATTTCGATTAATAATCAGTTCGATTTTGGGTTTATTTGATAGAATTGATTCATAATCGATTTGGTACTGATCCACCCTGTTTCTTTCTCGAACCAGACCAATCCATTGACAGCTCTTGATTTGAATATAATAACCTAATGAGTTCGGCTTTATTCAGTGCAATGACAGTTAACCATGGTTTTCGAACCATTGACCCGGACATAGTACCGTTCGGCCTTGAGAATCGTCCAGGCAATTGGTTCTGTTTAACCTCAAATCCGGTCCCTAGTCAAAAATCATTAAATCGGTCAATGATCTATTGATACAGACAGTCAAATCATTGACCCATTTGATGATTTTTGTTGTTAGTCATTTTTATTTATTTTTTTAATTTTTGTTGTTAAAATGGACCGTTCATTTGAACTGGACGGTCAAACCATCAACCCGGAAACTAGTGGCTAGAACAGTTCTGTTTCTAAGTCTTTTTTTTTAACTATGGTTCAAACAGCTTTTACAACCTTGCATTAAGAATATCTCTGTACTTATATACTTTATTTCATGGAAAAATATTCTCAATGCAATATTGCAAGAGGATGGACTTGCATTGACTGAAACCAATTTCTTATCTAACTCAAGGTTTTAAAACCGTGGTTGACCTGAACACTAATGGCCCAGAAACCAGTTAGGGTACCAGTTTCATTTTCAGTCCTAAACCATTGAATTGATTAGCGATCTGTTGCTTCGGCCGGGCAGTTGAACTGTTAGTACATTTGACTCAAATAACGACTTTTTTAGGCCAATTTTTATTTTTATTTTTTAAAATGACATAAACAGATCCGTTCAGACCGGACGGTTAAACCAATGTCCAAAAACCGGTGCCAAAGTGGTTCCGGTTGGAAGTCGACTCTTAAAATATTGATCTAACTTGTAATGTTGATCATCAAAGAAGAGCGTAATCATGAATATTAGCTTCCGCCAGCTTTGCATGAATGAATCAGGCTCTAACTAATTTTGTGGATGAGGGTTAATTGCAGGTGTGCTCAGCAGTGCAGCTAAGTGGTTTCTTCTTGTGCCTACTTGGAGCAGCAAGAATCACTCATAGAGCACAGGGGATTGTAAGCATTGCAACAAGATGGCACATAGTGGTGACATGTGCTTCTTGTAATGCTGCTGAATCAGAAGCATGGAAGAACCTACTGCCAATTGCCAATGCAGACCCCAGTGACGACCATTCATCACACACTCTTGCCTCAATCCCCTCCTCCCAAGACACATCCTCTTTTCAGACCAGGCAGGCTTTAGGTGAGTCATGTTCATGTTCTTGTATGTATTTCTCTTCCTTTATAAAAAACTAGAGATGAGATGGCAATTTGATCTACCCCTGGGGTTTCAAGTATCAACCCACCCTCCCCTCATCGACGGGGTTTTTTGACCGCCGATCCGGGTAAGTTTCGGGGAAATTCAAAACTTTGGTGACCAAGGACAGGATAGTGATGGAATATGTTCCAATTCCAGCCCCAAACCTGCCTCTACTGAAAAAAATCAATTTGCAAGTAGAACCAAGACAGGGCAAAGTAAATTCGAAGATCCCCATTTTTCATAGAGACGGGGATGGGGTTGGGATTTCTAGGATAATCCTGGAATGATGATGGCCACAAGACTTTACAACAGCAAATTGGGAACATCTCTCATAGTTTATATTGTAGTTAATATGGAGATATATTCCTGATGTGCAGCTGTGACTAAGATATAGTCAGTGTCTTATGGTCAGTAGCAAGGATTAAAATATCAATACTTTCAATATCAAAATAGGGTATGGGTATACATTCGTATGATGTATCCAAATATATGTAATGCATCAATACCGATATTATACACCCCAATCCATGTAATATTTTCATCCTTTGTCAACAAATCTGAACTTGGCAATTAGGCCCCCAATTTGAAGAAAAAATTGGCTGTGCACATTCAACATGCTGTCCACAGGGCCGAGGGCTCTCCTTAATTGACAATGGTCTACATGAACTCCATGTGACTAATGATACTAGATGTATGGTTGTGTTGACTATAATTAAGGGTGGCCATGAGTCAGAGCCTTTCACAATTTATTTGAGTTTGGCTCGTGAAAAGTTTGGGTCAGTTTGGTTTAAACCGAGTTTCGAGTCAAATTCGAGTTCGATATATAAGCTCGTTTACTAATCGAGTCAAGCTCAAGCCCAATAAAACTAGATTCGTGAGCCTAGCTTATAATAAATAATTTTTATTATATATACATACATACATATAAATATATATATATATAATAAATAATTTTATTATATATAATAATATTTTTATTTTTCATGTATAATAGTAAATAATTTTTATAATTATTTTTTGTATATAATATTAAATAATTCTTAATTTTTGCCTAAAAATTAAAAATATATATATACATATAATTTTCAAAAAAAAAAACTTTACTTATAGTTGAGCTCGAGCTGAACTGAACTCGAACTTGCGAGCTATGAACCGAGTCGAGCTCAAGCTCAAGTCTCTAGCTCGAATCAAGCTCGAGCTCGACCTCAAACCTCATAGTATTCCTACGAGCCAAGCTCAAATAGCTAAGTATTCGACTGGGCTCGACTAAAATCCACCCCTAACTATAACGTGTTAGGCGGAGAGAGCATCTGAACAGCCCAAGCTGTCGAATATGTACAGCTAAACTAGAAAGGCCGTGAGCCTTTGGGCTGGATCAAGAGAACCCATCCAACAGGCAACAGCCCAGGTAGCTACAACCCAAGACCATAGATGGGCGTCCCCTTTATGGGTCAACTTTTTTTTTGGTCCAAAAATTTTATCAATGGAAGGAACTTTGCACCATCATCTTCTATTGCTGGGCTCAGTCCTGAGTCCTGTACCCATGAAAGTGGGTTGGCCACGCTTTGGGCTGGACATTTGGACCAGGATCATAAACACCCAAACTTTTTAGTCAAGGGACTCTCCATAGGCTCTGTTTGTTTGCAGTGCAAATTATTCACTGGTGTAAATGCATGTACTGGTGTTTGTGAAAAGTAAAATAAGTAAAATGATGTGGTTCCAACCTCATACGAAAGAGAATAGAGAAGTAGAAGGGTTGTTTGTTTGGGGATCCCCATTTTATATAAGAGAGAATTGAGAAAGGAGGAAAGTAGTACAAATTTTGCAACAGCTTTTGGAACTCAAAATTTACACTGTTAGTGAGTGCAAATGAGATAAAAGTACAAATTTTTTATTAGATAGGAGTGCAAATCATAATTGCAAACAAATGGATGTAAAACTGAACAGGGTGCAAAATTTGCATTGGGTTAAGATTTTCACTGCAAACATACAAGCCAAAAGGGTTAAGAAATGTGCTGTTTTTCATTTGTTTCTTAACATAGGATAGGGTAGTATTGGTAGAGTATTGTTTAAGGGAAACCCATGTCTCTATTTTAATATATTAAGTCAATTTTGATTAACAGAGATGGGTATTAATATTAAGCGTTGTACTGTGCAGTGACATATTTGCAACACAACAATGGTGGGATCACATTGTTTGGATTTGCACTTGACCGTGGATTACTTCATACACTGTTTGCTTTTGAATTTTCTCTAGTATTATGGATATTAAGTAAAGCTGTCGTTCTCTCCTAAGAAAAATTCTTTTTATGGAAGATGGGTGAAAGATGCTACTCTTTTGACTACACTTAATTATATTGAAGGATAGTTACTCAACCTTGTTTTGAGTTGGTTATTAATTTTTCTACGGGCTTTCACCTTTTTTATGCTTCGTTATTTGGGTTTTGTGGGTGGGGGGGATGGGGGCGTAAGATCATAAGTAAAGTTTTTTTAACTAGATATTTAATCTGTAATAGTGTACTGAAAAACTTTTTTTTTATATGTCAAGTATTTCACCTGATTATAAAAAAAAAAAAAGTATTTCGCCTAAGTTTTCAACTTGAGGTATCTCAATGTTTAGTTTGTATATAAGAGATTGAGGAGGATTTCACATTTTAACCCATGAAATTAGAGGAAGGATGGACGAAATGGAGAGGTGCATTCAGAACTCTTTTGGGTTTTGGGTTAAAAGGGAAAATGTTATAAAATGGTCATGGGCTCAATTATTTTTTTTTTCGGTATCAATGGGTTCAATTATGATACCGGAAAAATTTATCGCCAATCAACTGATATCATAAAAAATGTGATATTCATCCAAATTCATGGGTTGCTTTGATTGGTCAAAATTCTTTCAGCTGAACTTGGAAGGAATACAAATGTAAATACGTAGAGTGCAAAACTTTATATTTTGTATTATTTTATATGTATTTACGCTGTACGTATTTGCATTTGTACTGCTTCCAAACTCAGCCCCGAACTTGATCATGGATTTTTCCATTGTTTTTCCTTTATCATGGATTTTTCCGGTGATCATGGTAAAAAGGCAACCCAACCCCGAACCTGATCCGACCCCAAAAAAATGGGTTGGGGACCCCTATCAAATGACCCGAACTAGAAGGCCAGACCCCTATCACATCTTTTCTAAATAACATTTTCAAATTGGCATTGAAATTTACGGTTGAATTGTTCGAACCAGACGATTAAACCTGTATTTTTGGTTAAAAAAAACATTGACATGGTTAATATTTTGATGAATTCCAATAAATGCCCATATCGATGATAATTCCATTTTTTACTATCAAATCTGGAGCCTGTTTTGAAGGGTTTCAACATTGGAGTTATGTTGAAGTAATTAGTTTCACGGAAAATTTGATTTTTTTATCAATAACAAAACTTTCAATAATCAATCAGAATAATTAATTTTACAAAGGGGGAGAGATAAACTCTCTTTAACTCTCTAGCAGAGGCATGAACCCCCCACACACTGAAAATTTGATTTATTAACTGGATTAAAGTATATTTGGGATTTTTGGGTTTTTTACCAAACATCGCCTCTAGCTTTTCTATACGAGGGTCCACCTAGGGATGCCAACAGGTTGGATTCGGCATGGGTTTCTCTCAATCCTAACCCAGCCTTCCAGTGCCCCAACCTGAATCCCACCCAACCCGCCTTAAAAATACGTAATTTTCAAGCCTGGCCCAACCATATAGGATCTAACCCGATACCAACCCAACCTGACCCATAGTATTTCAATTGTATTTTTTTTAACACGCTTTGAAGACCTGAAATCCATTAATTTAAGTAGAAAGCTGTTTAATAAATTCTAACGTGTCATTTTTCCTATTTAAAGAAGAAGAAGAAGAAGAAATCAAAACCAACATATAAATAAATCTTACACTCTAATAGAAGTCAAAATGATAAAAGAATACTTTGTATATATGCATAGTATCATGACCCGGCAAGGCGAGTCAGCCAAAACCCCAACCCGACTTAAATTGAAAAATCAAAATCCTAACCGATCCTAAAACCGAATATGCTTGACCCTAATCTAACCCTATAAAGTCGTGTCAAGCTGGATTTACCCTTTAACCCGACCCATTGACATACCTAGGTCTACCTTGCAAAGCCGTCTCAAACGGGCACCTAATGCTACCCTAATTCAAACATTGTCTTTATCCATCGTTCTTACCGTAAGACTAAAGTCAAATCAAGTAAAAAATTTAAAGCTCTACTAGTCTACTACCATGTAGGGAGATATGAATCTTTTAAAATGGAATTAATTTTGTTGGTAACTAGGTGCCAAATAAAATAATTCAAGACCAACCATCCATCAATTTAACTAGGGCTTAGTTCATGAAGTTATATTTAGGCAGATTTCTTGGGTTCTTAATAAATTTTATAAATTCCCTTAATAATTTTTCCTCATCTTGCTATTTCTCTTATTTCTATTCATAGTTTTAAAAATCGATTCCAAAATAAAAATGTTTTGACCATTGGTTTGTGGATCAAACAGTTTTAGTGATGTTTTTAAAATTTAAAAATAAAAAAATAACCTAAAATTAGGGATGACAATTTCCACCCTATCCAGTGGGCACTCGCTCATTTAAGATTTTTTTTTTCTTTGAAGAATTGATTTTGAGGCAGGCACAGGTTTTGGAATTTTATAACCTGTATGAGTACGGATAGGGAGTGGTATTAGTATAAACCCAACCTTTCCAACCCATACATTGAATTTATTAAAATAGCCCTAATAGTTATAATTAAATTATTGTTATAAGACAATTTTATATCGTATGTATCAGATTTAATAATGCCTTGAATTTCATGTGAAGAATAATTAATAATTTGTAGTTTCAATCAAATAATTGGAAATTTTAATCTTTATTCATGTTAATTTGTTTATTTATTGTTTGTGTAACAGAAAATAACAGGAAATTATATGTGAGTTTTGGACTTAACCCACCCCACTCTCAAATTAGATGCGAGTTTGAGAGAGCTTTGCATTTTCATGTGCAGAGAAACTTTGGATTTTGAAAACCCAACGTACCAAGGTTTTGGGATGGTACAGGTTGGGAGGTCATTGAAGGTGGGGGAGGGTCTAGAATTTACAAAACCCTACCTGAATAGCTGAACCAGCCCCATTGCCATCCCAACTGAAAACTGTGTATGAATCAAATGATTTAGCGGTTCAACTATCTGAGTCAACAGTTCATTGACTGGTTCAACGTTTTTTGAAAAAATCCAAGCCAAGTAAAAAACAGAACTGGATAGGTAATTGGTACCCGGTCGGATAGTTCAACCGCCTGGATGAACGACAGTTTTAAAACCATTTTTCTTCTTCTCTAGGTGTCCCCATCCAATTCACTTTCTTTTTCTCTAATGTTGTGTTTGGTTTGAAAGAAAAGGCAGTGAAAGGTAGGAAAACCTAGCATGCTACAAATATTCTCCCTCTGCAACAGTTTCCACTCGACAGCACGCGACTCCTGCTACCTCGTTTTTTCATACAACTCCATTATGATATTAGCTTCTACACTCCTGCCTGTCTTCCAAATTCACTATTGACTTGTGATCCTAATGACCGTGGCCTCTGATTTAAAACAAAAAGACCTGTAAGCTGATTTTACTGTATAGTTCCGAGTATTATTTCTCTTCCATGGTATCCCATTTTCATGGCTGTTTCTACTGGATCTTATTTCTTTTATTAGAGTTATCGTCCCACCTTCAAAGGCCACTTTTAATAACTGTTCATTCCAGGTTCCATCTGAACTCAAAATCACTGGGACCTTGGCATTCTTGGGAGATTGACTTTGCTCTTTTTCTTCCTGGTATTACCCCGAGCAGACCAGGTATCCATGGATCTGTAAATGCTCCAACATTTCTACCATCCATGATTTGCCAGTACAATCTGATATAATCTCCTGCAATAAGACAACCAGCATTCATTCTTTTGGTTGGAGAGGCAATTAAGTTGATCAATTATTAGTTGGAATTGAAATTTGTAATGAACACATCAAAAAATATTGCAACCTGTAATTATTTTAAGCATTTTTTTCTTCGTTTCTTTTTAACGAGGAAGGCATTTTCAAATGATCATTGAGATCTCTTGGCCTCCATAACAGTATAAAAAAGAGAACTTACAACTTGGAAAGGGGGAAAAAGAAGAATTCTACATCTAATTTAATCCTCCGGGAATCCTAAAAATCTGTTTATAAGCTTTGCAACTGGCCTGGCATCTCCAGGTGGGTAAGGAATGAGAGATTCCAAATCCATGCCTGCGATAGTTTGGTGCAGCGTTTGTGGGCGAGCACAAAACAAATGCTTCCTCTCTGCTAGTTCTTCTGCTAACTCACTCTGATGGTTGTCCATTAAATCCTCATTCACCACTACAATAAGTGGTTTACCAAGCCGCAATGTCTCAAATATGCTTCCTGAGCCTGCATGGTAACACTGGTTATTCAGTGATCCTTTTTCAAGAACCCCTATTTAGCAGATTAACCAGTTAAATTTATGACATCCTTCTATATATTCTTCTTATCAGTATAAATGCAAGATTAGTGTAAAGGGTTCGATATGATACTAGAAAAACTTTTAACCAATCAACCAGTATCATTAAATTGGTAACCAATCAGATGATTATTTATCAAACGGGGGTTTGTGATTGACCAAAGTCCTTCGGTAGCATGTCTATCCGGCAGCATAGATTTTTCTTTAGTAATAAATATATGCAAGATTAATATAAATATCTATCAAACGTGTGGAATATACATAGAAAGCACAATATATATTCTAATCAATTTTCTCCTAGCAGCCACTAAGTTCCAATTACCACCTCTCCCCACACCCAAGGAAAAAGGGGAACTGAAACTGGAGTTTCACTTCCCCCTTTTTCTTGATCATCCCACAAGGTGCTGCAGCATAGAAAAAGGTTGTTTCTGGAAAGAATAGCTCTTCAAGTGAGACCAATTTATTAGGTGCTCCAGATTGATGAGCATGGGCTAGAATTCAGCCAGATTGAGGAGCATGTTTGACATGTCTAACATGTATCATTAAGAAAGTAGAGTGGAATACCGTGAGTCCTTATACATACTTAGCTTATGTGAAAACATTACCTGCATGACTAATTACAAGAGATGCTGATTTTAAATATTCAGCAATGCTAGATGAAAAAGTAAAGTAGTCTACGGCCAAGGATCCATCTCCTATAGACTGCAGTAAGAAATATCTGTAAGACAATTGACTTAAGCATCAAATCAACATATTGAATCCTACCATACAAGCTAGAGGTCTGAAGATATAAGGAGGTCCATCTTAGTTTAGATCAGATAAATGTTTAAATCTAACAGAGTAAAAATTATTCTCTTATAAAGGTAAATGCTTTCTTGGTCCAATAAAGCTCCTTGGACTCAACTTCAGACAACTAATTTTATCAAATGAAATCTACAAATAACCAACCAGAAAAAAGAAGGAAAAAAAGGCTGAACTGAATATACATTTATTCTGATAATAAAGAAAATTTTCATTAAGAGGCTGCAAATACATTTGGACCTTCAAGCATTGGGGGAGTTTTTAGGGATGGACATTGAACAATTTTGGCTCTTTTTCTCCAGTCCAATAGGCTATGGAGACCCACAAGCAGAAATCTCAGCATCATTGCAAAGTTTAAGACCAGATAAGCAGCTGAATCTCAGGCACATGGAGGTTGAACTTGAAATGGACTTCATGCCGATAGTGGGGTGGATGAATAATAACAGCCAAGGGATTTAGATATATGGATAAGCTTTGAGAGTTATTAGGCAGTTAGTAAGCGAAGTAGAGATCTCTCGGGTGGGTTAACAGATCAGCAAATGGTTTGACAGATTCACTAGGTGAACGAGGGGTGTCTAGGGAGCATCTATTTTGGGTTTGTTTGTTTGATGTGGTCAGGGCATTGTCTTTATGGGAGCCGAAAGTTGTATAATCTGTTTAAACCGATCTTTGTATTTTTTGACAGTATCAAATATAATAAGGTAGGTAAATTATAGTATTTGATATTATAATTTTTTATAAATATATTTAATATTATAATATTAAGGAATAAATTTAACCAGTACAAAAGGCCAAAGGCTGAAACAATGTTTTAAAACATGGAGGTGTGATGCGAGGCGTTCCACTACTTGGAGACATGATGCGTGGTTTAGCATCGTCCCAAAATATATCATATTACAATTTAGCCCAAAACAAGCCATCTCTATTAGCTCCTTGCTTTGCCAATACACCTGCCATTCCATTTGCAGACATTCTTATCCACCCAAACGTGGAATTGAATTTCTTTTCCAAGATGTCAATCTCCCTAAAAGCATGTTTGTATTTCCATGGAGATGATCTAATATTCTTGGACCAAGATATGGCTAACTGAGAATCTCCTTCCATTTCCAAATCCCTTGCTCCAAGTTGTATAGCCAGCGTTAATCCATGTAAGAGAACCATCACTTCAGCTTGTACTGAATCTCCAAAGCTAATTGGTCCTGAAAATAATGCCACCACCACTCCTCCATGGTTTCTGAAAACACCTCCTATTCCTGCCCTTCCTGGATTACCCAATGAACTACCATCAAAGTTAAGCTTCAGCTTGTTAGAAGATAGAGGTTTCCAAGCCATTATTGCACTTTCTGTAGGTCTAACTGTTTGGGACACTTCTGTCATTTGTTGAGAATTCTCGAAAGAGATCCAAAGTTTCTACCCAATGTGCTGTTCTTACTGTTACGGCTTCAAACAGTTCCTCCTTTGATTTGTTCTTCTTGTTAAAAGTTCTCTGGTTTCTTTCCTCCCATACAGTCCAGATTAGCGCTGCTCTTGCTGTCCTCCACATAACTCTTCCTTTCTTCTTCTGCTGCCTTAAGAAACTAGAATTGAATAGGCCTACCGCATCCTGTGGACGATCCCATCTCCAACTAAAGAGATAACAAATATATTTCCATATACAAGACACGAAAGGGCAAGTAACAAATAAATGAGGAAGGGTCTCACCACTTTCCTTGCAAAGGATACACACATGAGGAGAAAGGCATTTATTTGGCCTTCGTTTCTGTAGCAGGTCACAGGTGTTGATTTTCCCAAGGAGCACTTCCCAACACAAAGCTTGTACTTTAGGAGGGATAGGTTTACAACAGAATTCATTAACCGGAAAAATTTCTCCCAAAGGCTCTGACAATACAAGAAGGTTAAAGAAGAAATCACAAGAGAAAAGGCCATCGGATGAAGGGAACCAAATTCTTCCATGTAGAGAGTTAGGGTCCAAGAAAGCATTTTCCAACTTTGACAGTAAGAGGACAAGGAAATCAAGCTTAGAATCTCTCAGACCTCTCCTGAACCCAAAATCTCAATTTATACCAAGCTCCAACGGTAAACCAAATTTTGAGATGGGTTCAGCATTCTAATTGGATAAAAAAGGAGTAAGGGAAATTTTCGTTTTAGTGGTAGATCCCCAACCCAAAGATCTTCTCTCAGACCTCTCCTGAACCCAAAATCTCAATTTATACCAAGCTCCAACGGTAAACCAAATTTTGAGATGGGTTCAGCATTCTAATTGAATAAAAAAGGAGTAAGGGAAATTTTCGTTTTAGTGGTAGATCCCCAACCCAAAGATCTTCCAAAAAAAGGACCCTCTTCCCATTGCCCATATCGGACCAAGTGAAACAGAGAAAGGCTGGTAATACCTCTATTATTGCTTCCTTGGGGGATCTTGAAGAAGTATGAGTTGCCAAAGTTGCATCTCATTCATTTTCTGCCATACCATGAATGCTTCCAATGACCTTGTGCCACAATCTATCTCTTTCTAAGGGAAATCTCCAGAGCCATTTTCCTAGTAGAGTTGTATTTCTCTTAGATTCCCAATTCCAAGTCCTCTAAGTTCTTTACTTCTTTGGGTTTGCATACTTGTTCCCATTTTATAAGATGATATCATCTTTCATCCCCCGATTCCCACAAAAAAATCTCTCATTATTTTTTCCAAATTCCTTGCAATCCTAACCGGTATTCTAAAAGTGGAAAGGAAGTAGGTAGGCAAGTTGGCTAAGGTGGTCCTAATCAGAGTAATTCTTCCCCCCATAGAAATGTAACTCCTCTTCCAAAGAGCTAATTTTTTTTGTGAACCTTTCTATTACTGGTTTCCAAAAGTTTTCTGACCTAGGGTTACCCCCCAAAGGCATGCCAAGATACTATAGGGTCCAACTCCTAATCTCACAACCTAGTATTTTTGCCACCTCCTGAATATCTTGCTCTCCTTAATCCTGCCATACAACTCTTCCCCCAATTCACTTTCGGCATTGATACCCTTTGGAATCCATCAACTAGGTGTTTTATGTTCCTCACTGTTATGATTAAAAATATATGATGTAAAAAAAAACAATATAATATAAATAAATAAAGCTTGAGGGGGGCAGATTTGACAGCTAGCCCACTCCACATAAATTCAAATTTTAAGTTCTGGTTAGGGGGGGAGTTAAGCAACCACCCCATGTATGAAGAGTGGGGAGGTTGCTCTAACCTCCCTACACCATAACTATCTCCCTCTATATAAGAGGGAGAGGAGAAGAAAATTGGGCAGCAGATTGAAAGAAGGGAGAAGAGAAAGAGATAAGGAAGAAAGAGAAAAAAAAAAGAGAAGAGAGAGGAAGAGAAGAAATAGAGGAGGGAACTTGAAGTTTGGCTGATTGAGGTGTAAGGATAGGCTTACACAGGTATAAATCTTATCCTTCCTTCTATCTCTTTAAAATTTTATCTATTTCAATACTTCTCTTCTCTCTCTCTCTCTCTCTCTCTCTCTCTCTCTCTAGAGTTTTGTTAGAACTCAAAAGCTTATTTCAAATTATACAAACATGTATATCTGGCGGATCCCATCCACCTCAAAGAACAAAAAAATAATAACAATACTGGGGAACCTCTGATATGTCGGTGGATTCAACATGTGGAGAAGCAATTTTGACTAATTGGCTCGCATGGGCATGAGAAAAAGTTCAAATTTTGAATTTCAAAACCTGTCCTAGGAATCCCTAAAAGCCCTTTTTAGGGAAGTAATGGTCAAGTCCTCTCCAACCCAGGCTAGCAAAGTCCAAAGTCCAAACCTCAAAAGCCCATTCCGACTCCTAGTCCACTCCACCTTACCCTTCCTCTCAACCCTCAAACTTTGACAACCAATCCCAAAATCCTCTATACCAACTTGAGAAATGCCCCAACCTAGTTTCTTCTACCCATGGAAAAGAACTTTCAGCCTAGACTTCAAACAATCAGGATCTAAACTCCTTTTCAAACCAAACCCAAGTAGACAAGGTTCAACCAAGAGAGCACGGGGTCATGAATCATCATTGAAAGTTTATGGAAGGAGGTGTGAGTCTTCTTCAAAAGAAATATGTCAAAGAGAAGGTCAAGTGGTTAGCAAAGGAAACCATTCTGGTGGAGAGACATCCAATTTGACCCAACTCCACCTGATGGTATCGAAGGGAAATGATTGCAGTCCACTATCAAGGTTAAAACCCCCAAACCCCTTTTTTGTAAATCTTCAACTGGGTTGACTGTCCACCTGTAATGTTTCACTCTCAAAGCAAATAATAATTGTTTCTTTTCAACCACAACCTAACTACCGCTCACTAGTCCCAATGAATCTTGAGCAAGAAGGCAAGATGAAGATGAGTTCACATCTACGCCCCACAAGGGGGTGCCCCACAATGCCCCATGTTAATGTCGACTATGTAGGGGTATTTTTGTCTTTATGCTTATGTTTACGTTGCTGATGTGTAAGGTTATGTCAGATCTTATGTCCCTCACTTAAGTAGGGGCACATGTGTCATTTCCAGAGTATTAGTAATATAAAAACAAATCTGGCCGAATGGGAGAGTAGACTTTTCTCTCTTGTTCGAACCAGATCTTTCTCTCCCCTTCTTCTCTTCCTTTCTTCTCCTTCTCTCTCTTTCTCTCTTTCTTTTACTTTGACTGTTATAAGTCTAACAGGATTCAAGGGTAGGCCAAATCCTAATATGGTATCAGAGCTAAACTGAGCAAATCGGATCTGCCCAGAATTCTGTTATTTGTGCACCCAGTCTAGGGTTTTCCCTTGCTTTCTTCGCCATCAGTTAGAGATAAGGGAAAGGGCTGAAAATGAGTGATCGCCCTCTCCCCTTGGAGGTTTATATGCCTCCAGTTGTGCTGTTCATGGTTGGTTGCTGTGATTT